CTGGTTAGAAATTTTATTCAAAACTAGATCTTGATTAATCAAGTAATATAATTCTGAGACTAGCAAATTTCAAAATAAGTGGCCTTTTGACCTTTTTTAAAAGTAAATGTTTCAATTTTCCAAATTCTCATGTTCTTCAGCTCTTGTTTGAGCTCTTATTATTATTATTTTTTTAAATACATTTACAAATATTGATTTTTGGAGAATGTATCGTAAAAATGTACGGAAAAATTTTGAGATTACATATAAAATAATTTTATTAAAGAACGCGTAGTTTAGAATTTATTTTTTTGGATTAATGAAGCTCAAACAAGAGCTCAATTATTTACAGAGAACTATTTACATGTGAATCTGTGATCAAGATACAAGAAATAAGACAACAAAAGTCAGCCAGAATATAGGAGAAAAAGGGGATAAAAGGCTAATTATATTCACACCAGTTTGTACTATATAGATTACATTTTAATTGCAATAAAAGTTCTTAAATTTTGCACTTATGTTCTTAACTTTTTTTCGTAGCATTCTTTATTCTTAACTTCAATTAAATTAGCACGTCTTGTCTCTAATGATTATTATGCAAATGTGTTTTAAATGTGAATTATTCTGCTGGATATTTTTTTATTTTTTCTGAAATTTGTTACCTTTATTCAAAAATACGAGAAGTAAATAAATATTTTTATACATTCCTAACAAATTTTTTTTCTAACAAAAACAACGATCAATGATAAAAATATGCAAATTATTTTAGGGTCGTGTAAGTGCAAGAAAGAGAAAAGGTTGAGGACGTTTATTGTCGAGTAATTAATAAAAATTGAAGTGTGAATATAATTATTGAAAAAAAAAGAAAAAGTAATCCCACCAACCACACCCACCAACCATCCAACATTTGGTTGATTTTTGACCAGCCAAGATCCCCAAGTCTCTTTACTCCGTTTATATCTTTTCATCTTCCTCAAATTACACATCTTTGCTCTTCTGGGCACCTGTGGGATTCTCAAGAACATTCGATTCACATCTGTTCTGATCTGATCATATTAAGCAGTCAAAGGTTTGGGATATTTAAATTTCCGATTTATTTTCTCTGGATGAAATGGACACTTGCATAGTGATTTCTCTATTGGGAAGTTAGATTTTGGTTGGATTTTCCTTTTCCTGTAAATTTGTCTTTGTTTCTTGACGTGGTTTAGGTCTGGGTATAGTTGATTAAGATCATATCTTGCTGAATTTGTTTCGTATCATGTTGTGTTAACAATTACAGAAAGAAGATCTAATCAATTTAACTTTTAAATTTGACTTCTTTCGTATCAAATGGTTGGATCTTACAGTGAATGCAGTGATAGATTAACTTAGTTGCATAAAAGGACTTGTGTTGCAAACCCTTATTTATTGGCAATAAGATTTAGTTTCTTTTTGTATATTAATTGATGGGTAGTATCTAATACATTTCTAATTGTATTATGACACTGAATCTTGCTCATTTGTGTACTTGCAAATTATTGTTTAGTTAGATTTTAATTATAAATATGATTAGTGTAGTACACAAAATGGAAAAAAAACAGATAGTATACTGATTGCTGAGGATCCAACTCCTTGACTTGGATATAATAGGGGTGATGTGCAAATGGATCTTTGGTTGAAATTATATTTAGTATTTTTTGTTTCTTCTCATCCTTCGAATAAAAGAGAATCGAAATTTCTTGTTTGTCATATAGATTTATGTCAGTGGTACCAACAACTGTTAATTAGAAATGTTTTCACTAGTTGTTTGTTTAATTTTACTGGTTCACAAAGTCTTTTGTGATTCATATTGGATTATTTTCAAGGGTGCTTATATTAGTGATGAAAAATGTTTTCTTTATGTACATATGCATATCTGTTCATTTATTGCGTCAACTTTGAAATTACAAGTTCTAGTTTTGGCAGGAGGAACAATGGCTGATCAATCCCCAAAATTAACGAGAATAGGCCTTGCTGGTCTTGCTGTTATGGGACAAAACCTGGCCCTTAACATCGCTGAGAAAGGCTTTCCCATCTCTGTTTACAACCGGACCACGTCTAAAGTTGATGAGACTGTTGAAAGAGCAAAAAGGGAAGGCAGTCTTCCTGTTTTTGGCTTCCACAATCCAGAATCATTTGTTAATTCAATCCAAAAACCTCGTGTAATCATAATGCTTGTTAAGGCCGGGGCGCCTGTTGATCAGACCATCAAAACACTTTCTGCTTACATGGAGAAAGGTGATTGTATAATTGATGGTGGAAATGAGTGGTATGAGAACACTGAGAGAAGGGAGAAAGCGATGGCTGAATTAGGCCTTCAGTACCTTGGGATGGGAGTTTCTGGTGGTGAAGAGGGTGCTCGAAATGGACCGTCTCTGATGCCAGGAGGGTCTTTTGAGGCCTACAAATACATAGAAGACATTCTTCTTAAAGTAGCAGCCCAAGTCCGAGATAGTGGTCCCTGTGTGACTTACATTGGAAAGGGAGGTTCTGGTAATTTTGTGAAGATGGTCCACAATGGTATCGAGTATGGTGACATGCAGCTGATTTCTGAGGCTTATGATGTACTGAAATCAGTAGGAAAACTGTCAAATGAGGAACTAAAAAATGTTTTTTTGGAATGGAACAAGGGAGAGCTTTTAAGTTTCTTGATTGAAATCACTGCAGATATTTTCGGCATTAAGGATGATAAGGGAGACGGCTATTTGGTTGACAAGGTTTTGGATAAAACTGGAATGAAGGGTACTGGTAAGTGGACCGTTCAACAGGCCGCTGATTTATCAATTGCTGCTCCCACTATTGAATCTTCTCTGGATTCAAGATTCCTTAGTGGGTTGAAGGAGGAACGAACAGAAGCGGCAAAAGTCTTCAAATCAGGTGGTTTTGGTGATATTCTGACTGATCAGGTGGTCAATAAGGAAAAATTAATTGATGATGTTAGGAAAGCTCTATATGCATCTAAAATATGCAGTTATGCACAAGGGATGAATCTGATCCGTGCAAAGAGCATTGAAAAGGGGTGGGATTTGAAATTGGGGGAACTTGCTAGGATCTGGAAGGGAGGTTGTATTATTCGAGCAATCTTCTTAGACCGGATCAAGAAGGCCTATGATAGAAATCCTGATCTTGCTAACCTCCTTGTGGATCCCGAGTTTGCAAAGGAAATAATTGACAGGCAGTCTGCTTGGAGAAGAGTTGTATGCCTCGCTATCAACTCGGGCATTAGCACCCCTGGTATGTCGGCTAGTCTTGCTTATTTTGACACTTACCGGAGGGGGAGATTGCCTGCTAATTTGGTCCAAGCTCAAAGAGACTACTTTGGTGCTCATACATATGAAAGGGTCGATATGCCTGGATCCTTCCATACCGAGTGGTTCAAACTTGCTAAAAAGATAACTAATTAAGAGTTCTCTAGTTATTCGATGCAACTGAAGTACACATCAATCTCAATAAAGCTTATTTGGCATTCGATGCTTGCCAGAGCTAACCCCTCAGCATTTTTCTTGGTGTTGTAAGATTTAGTTTCCCTTTGAAATTTCTGTCTAAGTTGCACTGGAAAATATTATGTAATGTTTTATTCTCTGTTTTGGTATTCTATTTGTCATGTGACATTCGTATTTATTCCTTCTATTGTGTGCATCTTTCATCTCTGCAGAGTTGAAACATCTCAAGTTTTTACTGAAAATGAAGGTGTTTTTTTGGTTTTTTTTGTAGATTATATTCGAAAAAAGTTGAATTCATCTTTTGCTTTCTACATATTTGATTATCTCAATTATCGTTCACTCATTTTAACAAGTCTATAAACAACTTTTACGTAACAAATGCAAGAGAAATCGACTTAAATAAAAAATTTCTTTTTGCCATATTTACAATATATTCTCTTTCGGATATCAACATCATAGATTTTCCAACAAATTATATATAACAACGCTACAGTGTTGTACACTTTTACAAACTCTCACGAGGAGGTGGGCCCAGTGATTGTAATAATCGCGGGCCCCACTCCCTTGTGAGAGATTGTATAAATGTTGTACAAATCGATTTGTTGAATTATAATCGCACGAACAAATTTTCACTTGTTTTACTATCACAAGGTTATTTAACGTGTTTATTAGTGATTAAACAATGGTCAGTTTTCCGTTGTGCAACTACTTCTACTGTGAGAGTGGAGAAAATGTCATAATTTCAGTATGCATGCTTTTGAGCTTAACGAGCCAGTCTGAGTGTGTTCAAAAGTAACTCAATTTCAAACTTACTTACTTTGCCCAAAATCATTTTAAATTTCATTTTATTCGGTGTTCTAGAAAAGAAGATTTGAAGTACAGTCAAAAAAGAAAAGTTATCTAGTTCTACTGCTATTCAACACAAGTCTAGATGACAACATATGTAACATTAAATGATGCATAATGCTTACCCATCAGCAATATAAGTGACAATGAGTCATGGTCACATTCTCTAATGAATTAAAATGAATCCCGAATTTATAGGAGAGTGATCTTAATGTCACATAAGTTGTTGACGGATGGATATTGTTTGCGAATAATATTACTCTTAAATGATATATTCATTTAATTAGATCTAGACTCCATTTTAATTTTAATGCATTTTTCTATTTTTTTTTTCGACCACACATTTTTCAATAAATTAATATTACATGTAAATTCAAAATTTTTTCTTCTTTTTTTTACGATATATTCTCCAAAAAATCACTGTTCCAAAATATATTTTCCCCCTTAAAACTAATTTTAATGGAGCCCAAAGAGGGGCTAAAAAATAAAAAAACTATTAATAGACTCTACCTCGCGCTCCATATATGCTCAACTCCGTATTTCTTCCCAAAGGAGTTATTTTTCTGTCCTTTGTCAGTCAGTCAGTCAGTCAGTCAGTCTCATCTCCTTTGTCAGTCAGTCTGTCTGTCAGTCAGTCAGTCTGTCTCATCTCTCATGGGTTTTAAGAGTAACTTGTTAGTTTGCACACCATTGGAATGTGAGAGCAAGGAAGAAATGGTAGCTTCAATGGAGTTGGCTAAGGAACAAGGAGCAGATCTTGTGGAGCTTTGCATTGGATCCATGTCTTTCTCCCACATTTCAGAGATTGAACAACTCTTAAAACAAAGAATTTTACCTTCAATCGTCTCCTTCAGGTACGTACTAATGATTTTCTTTTCTCCCTATTTCTCTCGGGTAACTTTCTGGTGAAAGTATAAAGGAGAGAAACAAGTGAAGAATCCTCTTTTCGATTCGCACAGTGAAAATCCTTGCTATATTAAGTGAGCAAGTGCCCAACAAACACCTTTAGGCTTCTTCAAAAGATGCTACTTGGGTCGAAGACGGTAGCAAGGCAAGCACTCTTAGCGAATCTTGTGCCAGTTGAAGTTCATCAACTATAAGTTAGAGCCTTATCGTCTGGTCTTTAAGGCGTATGGTCTCAATAAATCCTTATGTAGTGGGAAGATAACCTAATAATGTGTTCATAATTCATAGGCTCCCATGTAGAAGTAGGTCAATCGCAAAACTTGAGACAATGAATTGGTTTTCGATTTTCTCATATATTTTTAAAAAGAAAATTTTAATCAATTCATTGGAATAGTGGATAGGTCATACCGAAGAAGTGCATATGATGGGAAATATGTATCGCATCAAAGTTTTGCACTAGACATTAATTACATTTAAGGTTGTTAACCTTTGTTCGTTGTAACTCACGTTCTTAACCTTTTTTTATTTTTTTTCAAATTTTAATATTCAACCTTTTATTAATTAACAAATCTCGTCCTTGATCAAAATATTATCTTGTTTCTGTACTTTGAAATCGAGGAAAAATATTTTGTCCCAATTTTCTGTTTATTGATTTTTAAAAATATGTTGGGGTAACTAAAATGTTTTAAGATCTCACAATGAACTTTTTCTTTATGTAAACCGTTATTAAATGGAAAGTCGGTGATAAGATTTGATGAAAAAATATATAATTATCATTGAAACTATTACAAGCACATATTTAGGACGTAGTACTAAACAAGATTAAATTGTATATATAATGAATAAACTTTTAATTTTGTCATTTTATTTTTTCTAGTCTTTTGTACCAAACATGTCATATACATAAATATTTATTTATTTTCTTGCGCAATGAACGAAAATACAACGTGACATGCTTATTAATAATGCGGGTGTTGCCCCCAGGGCATATCTCCTAGTTCTAAACAAGATTAAATTGTATATATAATGAATAAACTTTTAATTTTGTCATTTTATTTTTTCTAGTCTTTTGTACCAAACATGTCATATACATAAATATTTATTTATTTTCTTGCGCAATGAACGAAAATACGACGTGACATGCTTATTAATAATGCGGGTGTTATGGGTACAATGTGGACCCTTGATTTTGATTTCACAATGAACTATGAGCACTTCTTTCCCTTGATTTTTGTCTCCTGATGTTGTGGACGTGGTTAAGTGTGGAAATAGATTCTTGATAAAAACGACAAACCATTACATGATATTATTGACATCAGAATATTGCTATGTGTACATAGCTTTGACATCAAGTACTCTACTCTTCTGTAAAATTGTCGGTTCATTATTCACATGTTTTAATTCTCAATCACTCATCTTTCAGTATAATAACTTCGTACTGATCTTTTTAATAATTATTCGAGAATTGTTCATCTCCAATCGATTAGTTATTTTGGGGCCATTCAAAATTATGATTTCAGGTGAACTGAGAAGGATACAATAATTCTATTATGGGATATTAGCTATTACCCAAAAAAAAATTAATTTCATGTAATTTAATGGCATGAAACTGAATTTTCGATTTGGTATTCACATTTCAGTTAGTTTGGAACGAACAACATTTTTCTAATCCATCCAATGTGTCGGGAGAAAAATTATTTAGAGAACGTTTGAATCCAATTTATAGGTGGTCAAACTATTTTATAAACAAAAAAACATGTTAACGAAACATTTAAGGTCCTCAACTTTTGCTCATTGCAACACTTATGTCCTAACTTATTTCGTTGAAGTTTTATCTTCATCCTTTCATTGATTACCACTTCTTGTCCTTAATGATGATTCTGTCAAAATATTCTGTTTTGCGTGCTTTGAAATGAGGGAAATATAATTTGTTGCATTCATTCTCTTTTTAAATAAAACAATGTAAGAAAAAATAAGTAATTTTACGTCATCCCAATGGACTTTCTGGATGGAAACAATTATTAGAGACGAGATATGCTAATCAGCGTGATATAAATATAATTATTAAAGGGCATTTCGTTGAACCATCATATTGATTTTGCTTATAAATAACCAGATAAGCGAGTTCCTAACATGTTGGCTTAAACAAGGGAAACTTATTTGAGTTACTCTACTAATAGACAGTATATTTTTTTTTTTCAAGCACACCCAAACAAGCCCTTAAAAGTACTTTTGGCCTAGTCAAATTAAAGTTGATCCAAATATGAAAGAATTATGCTATTTGTACAATATTTTTGTACAATATTGTTGACAATGTTGGATGTGGCAAAAAAATATTGGTTGAAATAATGAGTTGTTTTTTAAACTGCCAAATGATAACATGCCATGTGGCATGTTGTCAACAATGATGTCAAAATCATTGTACATCAAGCACTACTCAATATGAAATATGTGCGTTCATAATAACTTAAAATTTCCGGAAAAAGGAGGGGAAAAAAAAGTTCATGGCAATTGCCACCTCGCCCAGTTTGCAATTAAACATTTTAGGGTTCTTCACTTTTACACTAATCCAAGATTTTCGATTATCCTGTAATACGCTCAGTTTAACCTAAAATTAATGGTGGACTGAATTGGAAATCTGGGTTTTTATCTCAGGCACAAGTGCCCTACAAATCCATGCAGATGCTTGCAAGTTCTCAAATTGGCCATCGAATTTGACATAGAGTTTGTCGAAATCGANTATTACAGATGTAGCACCAATATTTCACATGCTCACCCATTGCCAGGTACTTTAAGTATGCCCAACTCGACAAATTTAGTCTCTTTTTTTCCCTTGTTGCCGAGTCGAGATATATTTGTCATCCAATCTCTATGTCTCAAGTTTTTAGACGAGATAGTATGGTAACATATTTGATTTTTTTAATCAAAATTCTGAGACATTGAGAGCTTTCGTAAAAGGTTATCGAAAGTTCGATTCTGTCTGAATTACTCATGTTCAAATGATATCGACATTGTTCACAAATATTTGTTTTTGATTTCAATAAAATTTAATCATGTATGTGAGAGGAGACGCGTTTATTTACTTTATGTGCAATTTTTCTTCATGCATGCATGCAGGTGCAACTAGTTGCAAGAGCAGTGGGAGATAGAGGTCTCATAAGCCAACTATTGGGCCCAAAATATGGTGCCTTCTTAGTATTTGGATCCACAGGAGACGAAGTCCTACCTGGATTGCCAACTTTAGCCAGCATCAAACAAGTCTACAAATTAGAATATATGAATTCAGACACAAAAGTTTTTGGTTTAGTCTCAAATCCTGTAGGTCATAGCAAAGGTCCACTTCTGCATAATCCTGCCTTTAGACAGACAGGATATAATGGAATTTATGTTCCTCTCCTAGTCGATAATGTCGAGGAATTCTTCAAAGTTTATTCATGCAACGACTTCACAGGTTTCAGGTACTCTCCATTTTCAGAAATAATATATGATGATATTGTACGCTGTACTTAGTTCAGAATATTGATGAGCAAACTAGCAACATCAATCAAGTGTATGCAAAATGAAAAGGTCTAACCTTAATTATTGTTGATAATGGGTATTCAACCTTATATGAAATAATCGCGTAAGAAACATGAATTCTGAATTCTTAATCAATGCGAAATACCAGACGAACATCCTTTTTAGATATATCTAATGCGAGAATTTCTACATGTTATGGAATTTATAGTGTTGGAATACCACACAAGGAGGCAGTGTTAAGATTCTGTGATGAAGTTCATCCCCTTGCTCAGGTATGAAAGTTTCGTAATTCGATTTATTTACTTCCTAAAACAAAGCCGAGCTATTTTTTCGGGAGAATCATTATTAGAGACGCTTTCATCTTGATTTTTTGAGTTGATTTTATCAGAGTTTATTCCATTCTTCCCCCTAATCTTTATTGTTCTAAAGGTACTCCAACGGTTTCATTCTTTTTTAGCTTAACTTGGTCGAGGAATGGGGAAGTTAACTTAATCAATCTATACTGATCTTCACATATATTGCCTATTGAAATATACCCAGCGGCTAGACCCAACTACACCTAGAGGGTGTATAGTGCGGAATTAAAAAAATAACAAGCAATACGTGACAAGTTATTGTCTCTAGATGATTATTAACTTTAATGTCAAATTAAATCCTAATTAAATAATCACACAATATAGATTAAGCAGTACACACAAAAAGTAAATCAACACCAGGAATTGACAACGAATTAAAATCTCTTAAAGAACTCTTCACAAGGATAAAAATACTTTTGGCAAAACGATCCACTAGAAAAAATAACATACAGTTGGTCTAGACACAACTAAACCTTAGTACACTTTGACCACTAAACCTGTAAATCACCTAACAACCTCTTCCATTTTGCAACCTGCACTTTTCAGAACTCTAGACTTTTTTTTCCAAAGAGCGAACCTCATTCCGGAATAATTGGAACTCCAGCTCTCTATTCCCAATTTCAGAACTCTGAAGGCTTATGGAGAAGGTAAAGATTTTTCGAGTTTGAATTGTGGATCTTTTTTGTTTTGATCTTTGGTTGAAGTAAGAGAATAATGAAATCAATGTTTAATCTTTGTAGAATGTTTTCTTGACTGAAATTAAGGCTCAACCAATAATAGAAGGATTTTGGAAATTTCGAATATAAAGCTTTGATTTTGTGGTTGAATCAAGAGATCTTTAAAAGTGTAATTGATCTTCAACAAAATGATATCTAGTATGAAATTATGATTCAATACAATTTGGGACGGATCTATGCTCGGGTCTATATTTGTTTGAGGTTGAATAGAACTCTAAAATCGCGAACAAGGTTTGGCTATATAATAGTACTATCACTCGAGCGCTAGGTTGGCGCCTATCAAGCTGTAAACTCGCTGCTCGAGGGCCGGAGTCACGCCTAGTGAGCGGCCTTGTTTCTGCTTTCAGCGCTCGAGAGCTTCTTGCGCATTTGGCCAGCGGTTTTGCGACGACTTTTTCTCTTTGGTCCATCTTTAACTCCTTCAAAACCTATATTACCAATCTCCAACTCTTTTAACTTTAATTACAACTCAATTAACAATGATTTTGAACACGGGATTAGTCAGTTACAATTATGACCTAACACCTATGACCAGTTTGCGGTTTGCACCACTAGACTAAAAAATAAAGTGCTAGAGGAGTTAGGGTCGGGTTGTAGACTAGGGTGCGCTTTATCTAGCCACCGGCACAAGACACTGGTTGCATTGAAATGTCATATCAAGAAATTCATGAATCGAAATTCGGAACATCTTTCTAAATTCAGTGTTGCTCTTGCATCAGTCCATAGGAGCGGCGAACACTATTGTTCGAAGGCCTGCCGACGGGAAGTTGGTTGGTTATAACACAGATTGTGAGGCTTGCATAACTGCTGTTGAAGATGCATTCAGAGGTAAAACGAGTGCTTCCATAGTATGAAGAATGATTATGTAAGTAATAAAACGCACATAATTAGTAGCTTTTGTAAGGAGGTCTATGGATAAACCGTTTGTTAGCAACATGATTTTAAGACCTTTAGAGCGTGTTTGGTATGCTGATTGGAAGACTGAAAAGGGCCAAAAAAAAAAAAAAAATCTCCTATGGGCTATGACTGTTTTTTTGTCAGGTCTAGTAAGCATACCAAACATGTCACGGGTGACCTTAAAAGGCTTATGAGTTCTTGAAATGTTAAAGTACTACTATATAGCAATGGTTTGTTTGCTTGATTTTGCAATATTCCACTCTTCCTATTGTGATAATGAGACTTTTAATGATTTTTTTCTATGTTGTGGAAAAATAGAACGACAAGGTGCAAATGGACGAGCATCAAATGTTTCACCACTTGCTGGGAAATTGTTTGTCTTGGTTGGAGCAGGTGGTGCTGGACGAGCAATAGCATTTGGTGCTAGGAGCAGAGGGGCAAGGCTCGTTATTTTCAACCGCAATTTTGGTAAAATACAATCTCAGATCTCAACTAAAGGCTGCATTATAGGTTTATTTTTTAAAAAATTCTTAACTGTGACTTGTCCCCCTTTTCCTTTTCCCAAAAGAGAGAGCAAAAGCTCTTGCCAAGGCAGTATCAGGTGAAGCTCTGCCGTACGAACTCCTAAAAGAATTCCGACGCGAGAAAGGAATGATTCTTGCAAATGCTTCGGCTGTGGGTATGGAGCCTAATGTCGATCAAACTCCGGTTCCTAAGGTTCTTTCTCTTTCCCTCGGTGCATCACAAAGCACATGTTAAACCGGCATGTTTAAAATCTCAAACTGTTATAGAATGACATTTATTTATCTAAAATCCCAAATTTTCTTTGTTCAATTGTCTAACACGTGATCATAAAGGGGTGTAGGCTATATTTTAACTTAAGACATTTCTCTACTGTGATACCATGTTGAACTACTCACCTATTGAGTCTTCATGCACACCTCATCTAGGAGGAAACGACATGAACCGGTTTGATAAATTGGGAAGTAAGTATATACATTTCACCTGTCTTTACTTTTAGGTGGCCTTGAAATCGTATGAGCTGGTTTTTGACGCGGTTTACACACCTCGAAACACTCGACTATTGCAAGAGGCTGCAGATGTTGGGGCTATAGTGGTGAGTGGTGTTGAGATGTTCATCAGGCAGGCTCTTGGCCAATTTAAGTTATTCACTGGTGGATTAGGTACTATCTTGTCTTTCTCACTTTGATTTTTTAATCCTTGAAAAACCAAAAGCCTCTTATTTTCTTTAAGAAAGGTGATTTTAACAACTTATAAGTTGATTTCTAAAGCCAAGAAACGGAAAAGTTAATAAATCTTAAGCTAAATTAACATCAAGGCACGTTATTCTCCTAAAAAGATTGTGCTTGTACACTTGGAATAAGTAATCTTACTCCTTGTCGACCAAGCAGAGGAAAATTTAGGTCGAAAAATAAAAAAATGGAAAGAAAGAGAGAGATATACATAGAGACCATAATATAAACGAGGAACTTTTTACTTTTAACGGTTCGACAATGAGTTTTGCTAACTCTTTCGAGTCTATTTGTGTTTTCAGCACCAGAGGACTTCATGCGCAAGATTGTATTGGAGCAATTTTGATATGTAAAATCTGTACTGAGGAATGTATTGAAATGAAGAGGACTCGATTGTAGTATTTGGGAGGATTTATTCAATCATACTTGAGTTCACGCCAAAAACAAGGTCTTTTTTGAGAATCTTCTCTTCCCCCTAGGCCTTGCGCGGCTTAACGGGAAGACGAAGAAGCCCCTCTTGATAAAGTACTGTTAACTTTATTAAAAGTAGATTTTACTTTATCAAAAGATATATATCCGCTTGTTTAATAATTGTAGCAGAGTACTGTATGCTTTATGTCCACTTGTGTAATAATTGTATCAGTGTCATATACACTTTTTAAAAGTTGTGTGTCCATTTGTGTCGGTAGAAGGAAGCTCTTCTTCTATAAAAGGGGCTCTTCTTCCTTATATTTGTACTTTGTAGTTATTAGCGACCAAAATATATTATCGATAAATTTGCATTGCTGAAAATCTGAAAAATGTTTACTTTTTATCTCTTATTTCTATTTTATTTGACTAGAGTATTACAATAAAATATTCTCCAAACCTTAGTTTTAGGTATTTTTTTGCATGAAAAACAATTGAACATTATTAAAAGGAATTAATTATTGATTAGATGGCTCAATTTTTAGGTAGCACGTATTGAGCTCGACTATAGAGTTCGAATCTTAGATAAGTAGATTTATGTAATTGGATAAACTTAAAAAGTTCTAAAGAAATTAAGTAGTAGGGAAATGACAATTTCGTTACGTATATTGAAAATATGTACTAAATAAAATTTATAATAAAGATATTATATGACATTAAAGGTATAAAAACCAATAAAGAACAATTGTAGGTATGAGATTTAATATTACATTTTTGTCTTCTATGGCAAAAAATAAAAATAAATAAATCATAAGTTAAATTTTGATCCCACTAAAAATTGCGTTCATTTTTTTAAATACAATAAAACAGCTCAGAATGAGTATTTTATCTCATACTCTTGATTTTCTCTCCATGTTTTGTCTTAGATCAAGTTCTTTTTAATTCATACTGTGACAAATCGAACTAATGTCAAGGCGAAAATTTTTCTACGATCCATCTCAACTTTCAGGGTTCGAATATTCAAAAGTAGTTATTCAATATGAGAATAATGGACCTCTAATCTAACATGACTAAAACCGATCAAATTCAATGTTCATAATAAATTACCATATTATTATTATATACGTAACTTTGCAAGTATAACATTTTGATTATAACACGTTTATGCACTTTATAACTCAAAATTAACGTGAAAAGTGACACTTTCAAGTAATTGTATGTAACCAAACACAAATTAGCAATTATCTTTTATTCCTAAAAATAAGTACCATATACAAATAAAGACTACAAATCAAATTATAGAATTCACAACATTATGATGATAAGCGGCGGGCATTTGGTCTAGTGGTATGATTCTCGCTTTGGGTGCGAGAGGTCCCGAGTTCGATTCTCGGAATGCCCCCTTTTATTTTATTAATCTACTTCTTGTTGTTTTTTAGTTTTGTTTTTTTGGCTCTTTCTTTTGTGTCAAATCATCAGACCTCAAAAATGATTGAATAAAATTGATAATCATATATTCCAATTTATTTTTCTATTCTTGGAAGATCCCTAAATGGTAAGCTAAAAAAAAAAAGGAACAGAGAAAAAGGTAGTCAATGGAAGAAGCGAAAATGAAACTTTGGGGCATTCCGAGAATTGAACTCGGGACCTCTCGCACCCTAAGCGAGAATCATACCACTAGACCAAATGCCCTTTTGGTCTTTATAAACATTTAAATATTATTTGTTTGCATATGAATGAATTCCTGCCTGCTCCCGTTGGTCTCTCTCCCTCCGTCAGTTGCCGGACTCTCTCGTCTCTCCCTCACCGGCACGGCTCTCCCTCTGTCCCTCACTGTCTCTCCCGCCCCTTCCGGCTCCCCGTCTGCTGTCCGCCCCTGTTGGCCGTTACCAAAGGTAAAACTCTAACCCTTCTAATTGTTCAAATCTTCAAATCCCTCTCCCTCACCACATCTAGTACAAATCCTCACTTCCCAATTGAATTTCAAGCTAATTAGAACCTAAGGCCGGAGTCTGCTGCGTGTTTCAGTGTTTTGCATGTTTCTGACATTCAATCAGCAGAATCGGATATTCGCTTGATTCAGAATTGCTGGAGCCTGGATGTTTCAGGTAATTTCCACCCTTTTGAGGAATTTGAGTTTATTGAATCTTAGTGGAACAGTGGAAACTAGTTTTCTGCAAATGTTTGCTAGGTTATGCAATAAAATTGTAGTATCACGGTTTGTGCTTGTGTGGGATCCCCAACTGTTTGATAAAATGTGCATAAGAATATGCTTCCTTTAAATTGAAAATGGTTTTCCCTTTTTCGTGTTTTCCCTTGGGCACAAAGGCATTATCAATCCTAAGCTCTTGAACCCTGTAAAGAAGTTCAAATATGAATGACGATAGATTGAGATCAGCTCGTCTTTCACTTCTCATGTTGGTGAACATATCAGATTAATAGATAATGGTCATAGGGCCTCATTATGCCTAAACTTCTTCAAAAACTTATCGTGCTTAGCGGACGTCAATTTCTTTGGCCGGTTAATCAAGAAATCCCCTTCCGCAGGCTTCGTATTTTGTCCTCGATGGAAGTATCTAAAATATGTTGGCCTTAAAACCATTCTCTCAGGTTCAACCTCTACAGAACCCAACCCTACAACATCTCCCATATCATCACTCTCCACGTTCACTTTCCTCCCAATATAGAAAGTTCCATTTGAAGTCGCAATCACCCACGTTGAACAATCCAGTGAGAATCATAAGGAGCAATAGGGGAAAACACAATTGAAGTTATAAGATAAATGAAGGATTTTGATGGGGGTAGTTTCAATGTCTTAGGAATTTGAAGGATTTCCAGTACTTGGATTCTGGTGTAGGTGTGGCTTTATTTGAAGTGGGTTGGAGCTTTGGCTTTACAGGGAATGTTTTGGCTATGGAGATTCTGGATTCATCTTCCGCTGTTGATGAAGGAGCGGATAACTTTTTAGGGTTTAAGGTGTTGGGAAGAAAAGAAGTAATGGAGTTAGTTAAATGAGCGGCCACTGAATTTTAAACTTGGTTACTACTTGCTCATCGAAAAACAGAAAGGTGCTGAATATTCACTGAAGTATTCATTTATTCACCCATCCATCGCCATAGTTATTTCTGTTTATACAATTGGAAAAAAATTGCATGTGGTAGTGGAAAAATGACGTGACACGTGGAATCAGTTAATCACTCAACGTCACTGTAAATTGCTTTTAGTAAACACGGCTTCTCCAACTGGGCTAAATAAAAATTTCCCTAATGAAATCCATAGATTGAACTCCTTCATCCCTAAATCATAGGGTTTATACTAAACTAATTAATTTAATTGCATCCTAGGTGCAATATCAGATTCAAAATCCACATCCCAGAAGTTCTCCATCTATTTGATAAAGACTAAGGCCAATAACAATTTTGAGATTTATTGAAAAATAGTACAGGAATGTCAGGGTTATCATCATCCCTTTGAACAACATTGAGTGGGTAGGTCTTGTTCTTGCTGTTAATCATGTCGAGTCCACTATGAGGGCTTTGAAGTTGGTTCAACTTTGCTTTTGGTCCAGTTTGCTGGTATTAAATGATAATTGAGACACTGAAGTTGGTTTTATGTGTTCATTTTAATTTGGCTTTTTGGTCGCTTTTGGGAAGAAAAAGGCAAAGAAAAATGGCGCTCAACTGGGGACAACAAGAAGATAACCTTTTAACAGATTTATCTCCGCAGTACCTGGGACAACAAGATAACCTTGAATAGATTTTAGCTAACTACCAGCCTCTCCAATAACGGATTGATTGTTATCATAAAAATGGGAACATCCATGATATTACTGATTTTAACCATTGTATTAATCCATTAGCTGCAGAATATGCATTTAAAAAATGAAACTTGGAAGGCCATGTATGGCTACTTTTACTAGTTTGTTTCGTTGATCAGGAAGATTTTTGAATATATGTCTGCACCAAGTACACAAAACCCTTTAAACCAGTAGCTCTTTCATCTGCACCAAGGGACTGAAAATCATATTTGTCCACCATGTTTGTGAACTTAAATGTAAAACTATATCATTTATATAGATAGCTTAGTTTTACATCAAAATTCAGCATTAACAACAAACATTAATACTGGATTTTAGCCTCTCTGTCATGCTATAGTCATCAGCAACAATCAGACAAGCATCATCAATTCATGAAGTCATTTGATTTTCATATTACATCAACAACAAGCCGAAGAATCAGCATGAATTGTATCTTCTACTAACAACGACTAGCGTGTCATGTTCCTACTCGTTTACAAGGGTGTATATGTGTCATGTTCCTGCTTGCTTCTTAGTGTATGCTTCTGCACTGCAAAAGACACTAAACCATGGAAGAAATGCATTGTTTTTTTGAAGTGCATCATTGGCTAATCCCCTTGTAACAAATTTTGAATTATCTTATTGAAGATGCAACAAATATGTGAAACATGAGCCTTAAGTGAACAATGGGGGGGTTACTATTCAAGACCATGTTGTACATAGCCATGAAGAAAAGCAAAATTTATAACTGAATGCTCAAGCATTTACATATTTCTAATTAATACTCTTGTAATTAGAGCAACACTGCTTATGATTTTCATAGCCAATTCAAAAATTAGGAAAAATAAACTGCAATATGTCCACAACAATCAAGACTGTCAATTCAAACAACAAAACTCCATAAATCAATCCTTCACAAAACAGTACACTAACAAATTACCAATTCATAAAATGGAATTTCTATTTAGCCATTCAATTACAAATTGCAATTTATAAACTAGAACAAAATCTACATCCATACACTAACAATACATCAACATCCTAACATCTTCATACCTATATCCCTACATCTTCACACTAACAATATGCCAAAAAAAAAAACTACAATTCAAAAATCAGCATCAAGAACACATACATCCCTACAAGACACCACCAACAACCTACCAGCTAAAACAACCATAATTGTTCTTCAAATGTCAATTTCAAATGACAAACTCCTTGGAAATACTATGATGAGGATGCAACTTTCCATTTCCCAATTGCAGAAATTGATTTAGAGACAACTTAGGGTTCGCACTGATTTGAGACGAAATGTGAATTGAAGAAATTTCTATTAATCAGGAACGTAGATGTTGAACTTCTTGGATGTGGATACGAACTTGAAATTGCCAATTGAAATAATTAGTTTGTGGAGAAACCTCAGGATTTAGGACGATTTGGGGATGAATTTGATTTCAATACGTGGTTTTTGGTGAGATAATTTTTTATTTTTATTGAAGATGTTGTGGTTTCAAATTTGAGAAGTGTGTTTTACCAAAAGCAATTTCAGTCACGTGGATGTGGAGTGATTAACTGATTTTGTGTGTCACATAATTTTTTGCCAATTGTATAAATGGAAATGACTATGGTGATAAATGAGTAAATAAATGAATAGTTTAGTAACCTTTTATTTTTCGATGAACAAATAGTAATCAAGTATAAAATTCAGTGGTCACTCGTTTAATTGACTCAGAAGTAACGTAGTATTAGATAAAGTGGCGTCATTTATGTGCACACATACATTTTTCTTTTTTTATTTATTTCTTAGTTTTATTATATATGGGACCATACCCTGGCAATTTTAAAATTGAAATTAAAAAAGTGGCATTTACTCCTGTTGAAAGCTTTCTCAAGGCCATTTTTCTAGATTCTGCACCTGATTTTTCATTTTGTAGAGGTAGGATTTTTGGGTAATTTGAATTATTATTTTTCTTTAATTTGTCCATGTTTGATAAGTGCACGCAATAGTATTATGGTAGGAAAATAAACTTATTTTTTGATAATTGTAGAGTCCAATCTCATGAGTGCTACGTAGCAAACACCTCATCGATCCAATCTCCTGAGTATTACATAGTAAGAACCTCATTCATGCACCCAAAATCACAAAATGGGCATATGATTATGTATTTGATTTTGGTTTTGGTTTATACGTTGAAATATGTTGTGAAGGGGTTGAACACCAACTGTTTGTTCAAATATCTAAACAAATAATTACTCTTTAAATCAATTGCTCTATACCATCTTCAGTTCAGCATGGAACTGTGTTACCGTGTGCTTGAGCTAGCAAGTTTGTGTATTAGAGCAAGAGAAGTCAGTAATATTTCTACTTGTCATTGCAGAAGAATCGGTGTATAAGATGGAGCTTGAAAAAACTTTACAGGCTTTGAAAGACATTGTGCCTGCAGCACTGAACAATATAAACGCCAAATTTATACTATTGGATAAAGACAGGGTAACATTAGAAGGGCAGCACAAGAGTACAAACCGTGACCACCGTCTACTGACTGCAGCAGTGCACTTCCAGCTGTGGGGTGATGAGTGTGATGCATTTGAACCAGGTGACATTATTCTTTTGGCCAATGGCATATTTTCATACAACCGGAACAATCTTGTTTTGAGAGCAGGCAAACGAGGGAAGGTGGAGAAGGTGGGTGAATTCACTATGACTTTTGTGGAGACCCCTAATATGAGTGAGATACGTTGGGTGCCTGATTCGATTAATTCTAAGAAGTATGTGCAGGAAGCTGTGATTTCTCCCCACTCACATATATTCCCACCAATGCATTGAATATTTATTATGTTAATTTAGTTCTGATGTCACTGTTGGTAGAAAGGTAGAAAGAAGGTTAAGTTCATCCTTCACTTCCCCATCTCTCTCGTGATTCCAAAACAGACCCTTTGCAATTTTAATCAAAGATTTGCTCACTCAAATGCAGCTAGTTTGTATTGGTCTTCTTCTTTTACGAGTTTGGTTTGAAATATATTTCTTTTGTTCTATACGCATATCCTCTGTTTGTTTAGGCTTTGAAGAGTCCATGATGGATAATCTGCTTGCCTATATATTGAAGTCTTTATATATATAAGCTTCCGTCTTAGATAATGGTTTGTTAAGATATTCCCTTAGATGATGCTAGTTTTTTGATTTTATACCGACTTCATTTAGTTGACTGTAAAGTTAATTATTGTTCTAGTCTGCTGAAAAGTTAGATGTCTGGTGAAGTGTGTTCTTTGAGCTCCTTCACAGTGGTCGTTGCTTGTATTGTGATTTTTTGTGGGTTTTTGCCCACAATTCAGTCGACTTAACTATAGATGCAAGACTTTAATCTCTTAATTTATTGTTCACCATGGAAATGTATTATCCAGTCCCCTGCTGCATATAAGCCCACAGAAAGATGCCATCAAAACGTATAAATTTGTTGGGGGCAATGCTTTCATGGTTAATCAACGTTACTTTATATCTTTTTGTATGATTTTGCTTTAGGTCCTGCTCTTTCTCAAGTACTTAAGATGCTCTTCAATATAAGCACTTATCAGAGTCGTAGCTATCCCTTTATCATAAGCATATGTCTCCACGACAAAGGCTTTGAAAAGGCAATTGGGCCATGATGGGGATTGATATTCAGAGTCATTCTTGTGGAACTCTCATCCCCGTTGGTTATTTTATCTATTTAGATGTCGAGGCAAGACAGCTTTAAGAAGTATAGGCTTGCTCTCGCCCTACATCTTGCACCCCAAAAAGTAAAAATGAAAAATTTTCGCAACTTTGCTTGTTATATGATACCTTTGAATTGATTATGTAAATAAGTTTCGAATGCTTGCAAGAACTCAGGTGAAGGCTGAAGCAGAAAACTATGTTACTTTGTTGACGCCGCATATGATTGTATTCCAATTTGTAAGTAATATTCATTAGCACAATTTCTCTAAAGGCTCTCTGTGGGGGATGATTATATTACAAACCTAGTTTTGCTACTATATACAAAATTGCCATGTTTTCAAGGACCTATTCCAAGCTGAAGTGAATGTCTCATCTTCCAATAAAAATTGGGCCAACTTAAAAAAGGTCAAACCTGACAATCTCAACAAATTGAAATCAAGCAATCCCAACTACTTTCTCCTCCACTGCATTCCCATGGACTTATTAAACCACTAACAATGGCAAGAAAAAGAGCTTTTTTGGAGAAGAAAGGAAAGGTAATCAAGAAAGTTAGCCTAACCTAACTTAGCAAAAAAGATAGCGTTGAATTGGGTTCTTCATGCTTTTAGGTTTCACTCCGTATAAAAATACAATTTCAATACGGTAGCCACAAGCGAGACTAAAAGGACTTAAGTTTGTGGTTTCGGCAAATACGTTAGAGTATCTTAAATATTACTTAAATCATGTTAAACCTTATAAGATACTTATACAGACAGTTACAACCCCTACTCGTTGTTACCACAAGGTGATAAATGTCACGTTCGATACTGTAAAACATATTACTTTACTAAGGGGTTAGAGTAACCAGTGGGAAATTAAACGTCGAAGTTCGGCGTCGCAGGTGAAATAAATGGTTTATAATAAATCTAAGTAAACAGTAAAAAGGACTAATACTGATTAAGAAATCAATTATAAAAAAGCTGCTTTACATAAAGAGATAAGAAAAGAAAGCATATACTGTTGACTATGACTATGTACATTTGATCTCCACTTTGCCTGTTACTGATAGGCAGCGTTGAAATATGTAGACAGTTTAACCTACCTCCTCATCTTGATTTTTTGATTGAAGACCTCATAAATGAATAAGTAAATTATTTGTATTTTAAGAGTCGATTACCATTTGTTGAGGATTCTAATATCTTGATATCGAACTTTCTAAACCCCATATCGATGTAAATAAAATAGTGTTAAATTGTAGAGTCTAATTATAGTCGTAGCGCAAAATCTATATACGAATCTGGTGTATTATTACAATGAGTCATCATTAAGATTCTGTATTATCATCAAAAAGGAGAGAAAAAAATAGGGGGTTTGCACTTTTTCTCTTGTAAATTACTTTTCATTATAGTGAATTACTGCAAAAGTGGACGAGAACTAAACCTCGATAAATCTTGCATGAACTTGTGTCCTTATTTCCTTACTAATATTGCTCTACGTCGTATGTAAATAAGGTTTCTAACTTTTATTCAGAGTGTAATACAATGTTCTTTCATTAAAGCTTTATATTTTGATTCTTTTGAGTTGTTTTGCAAAGTTGATTAAAACTGATTCTTTATTTTAGTTGCAATCTGCTAATATGTCTTTAATAATCATGATAATACAAGACAGAGGAAGTAGCATCAAGATCATTGAAATTTTTGTGGAAATCTTACAATGTTTGCTAATATAATGATCCCTCGAAGGAAGATGGCGTAGCCAGGTATTTAGGCACGTTTTCTCCTGCCATGTCGACTATGTTTAGTGGCTCGATTTTAGTAGAGGTTCCAGTGGATTCCTCGGCTTCATTTGGAACTCGAGAAGGTTCCTTCTGTCGAGTGCACGCTAGAATGACTAACGCGAAGGAAATGAGAGCAAATATTACTGCTATTCCACCAAACAGGTATGGAATTGGAGATTTCCATGTTGGAAGTGTTTGCTATTGAATAGATTAGTGTGTGAATTATATTTCGTTAATAAAAAGTATGTGCATGCAAATACTAGAATAATAACTTATCGAATTATAGTACATGCATAATAATGAGCAAATAACTACTTACTTAAACGTAAAACATGCAGAAATCGAAGGAGATAAAATAAAGTGAGGTATGCGAATGCAAATCTTCTTAAAATGGATTTCGCCTATGCACTGGTGATAACAGGATCAAATGGACGTTCCAAAATTAATATAGCACATTATTAATTTTGCCGAGCGAACCAACTCTTGATTGTACTCTTCTAAAATGGAAGATATCGAATAATAAATATCGAACACGAAATTCAAAATAATATGAAAATTATTTTGACAAAATCTAGAGAAAAAAGAATTAGAAATCAATTCATTTCGAGTAGGAAAAAATAGAATTAAAAGTCACTATTTATATATTTGTATGTGTCTCTTCAAAGGGTCAGATCTTATGTTCAAATTAATTCCAACCATTAGATGACACCATTTCAAAATTGATGGTCTAGATTGCACCTTATCAAAATGTCACACTCATTTGAAACAACTCTTTGATATGCACCATTTACATTTGAAGAGTCATGTCCAATTATTCCAACATTTGCAAACCTCATATTTCTTGTATGCTTGATTTTCTGAGGATTCCATTTGGTTCACTGAAAATGAACTTATAAAGGGGCATTGAAATTTACTGTCCTCTGTGGGGGATGATTCTTTATTATTTACCCATTGGTCAAAATTATGCATATTAAAATCAACGGTTCGAGTTTTCTCACTATTTAATCGAATAACATTTTTTAAACAATTGTCCCACTTTACAAAAAATGTATTATCATGCCCTACCAACTTTTTGCAACTGTAATAAAAGTAGGAAAGATCTGCTCAAGATGATGCCATGATGTTGCTTTATCACCAGTAAACTATTCACCATAAATGAAAGTGCTGAGTTGAGCAAATAAAGAAGAAAAGTGCATGAAGTAAAATATTCCGGGCGCTTCTGTTGTAGGATGGACCAACTTGTCTCGACCCGACCTGACCTAACTTGAACAGTTCCATTTAGAGGCGGTATCAGATGACCCGTAAAAAGAACAAGTTCCGGTAAACATTCAATCTTATTCGATACAATGTAACAAATATATCTTAGGTGGTATGAGATTTTTATTTTTCCCTTGCGATTCATCAACTGGTGGTTTGTTTACATTATTAGAAGTACAATTTTATTATTTAGATAGAAATTTAATAGTACAACTGAGAATATCCAAAGGATATGTCTTAAAAAGAATGGTGAACAGCAATGAGTCCACCTTTTTCATCATCCACTATCAGAATAATTGCTATTAATTATGGCGTGTCACCGTGTAAAGACGATATTGAATTTTCATTTTTCCGTACATGAGAGCGATGAGTCCCACCGAACAACTCGAGTATTGAGAAAAAAAAAAGCATATGTTTGAACTTTGATGGAAGGTTGAGGAATTCTTTTAAATAATTCGATAACATTTGAGCTTAGAGGTTTTATTTTTATTTACAGGTCGGGCTGAGCATATGATAATTGGCCTTTTAACAGAGGATCAAACTTATTATGAAGCAATGTTATTATTGTGGAAGGGAAGATTCCCTAATTGTGCTTTGGAGATAGGAAGTTACTTGCAAAGTGTATTATATTTTAATCAAACCTTACGCAAATACATCAAATTTTTCCATAGTCAATATTCACTGCAGTATTGGAAGCAACATGGGGATCTAATTTATGATTTTGGCATTTAAAAAAATTGATGGCTCAAATTGCTTAGCTAGTTTTTTTTTTTTTTTTTTTATATGAAATATTCCCAATGTTAGAATTTGGTGTGACCTGAATTTCTTGTTGAAATAATTGAAGAATTCTAATTGAAGTGCACTCCACGAAAAATTCAAATTTGGAATTTTTTTGGAATCATATGTCATGTTGAAGTTCTATTTCGGAAGCTTATTGGGAGTTGAAATTTGTTTTGGACTCAATTTTATGGTATCTTACTTCATCAACAATTCTACTAGGTGGGTTTGGATATCTCCTACTTATTCCCTATAAATACTAGGCTCTTCTATACAAATTTAAAGTGTGAGAAAATAAAATACTAAAATTATAGGATTCATTGTAATTTTCTCTCTTCTCCATTATTCTTGAGTCAATAAAATCTCTTAATTCATCTGTCATATTTTTGTCTTCTTTTTTGAATCAATGAAATCTCTTAATTCTTCTGTCATATTTTAGTCTTCTTTATTCTTTTACTTGATCAAATACTTCATTATTATTTGCCATATAACTTTAACATCTCAATCCAATGGTTTGTTGCACAATAATTGATATCAGAGCTATTCTGGTATCTTGATTATTTTGCAACACCCAAAATGCTCTCTATTTTAAAAAACAAATACTCAAAGAGAAGTTTCAAGAGTCTTTCTATTTTAAAAAGAAAAAATTGAAGAGTCAAATTTACTCTATATTTTTACTTTATTAGTCAACATTGAACGTTCGTTGAATATTATTATGAAATACTTTATAAGTGGCGTAAAAATAATATTTCAATATGTGTGAATATTAATTAATTTAGAATTAATAGGGAATATATATATAATTTATTTATTTAATTTCTGATTTAAGTAAAATTGGACATTAATTAGCATACATGAACGTAAATAATGATATGCATTCTTGAATGTGAAATTTTAATTAACTTATAATTAGAATTAATAATACTGAAATATATAAATGAAGATAAATTAATTAAATAAATGTGAATTTTAATTAATTGAGAATTAAAAATAGAAAATTCACACATTAATAAAAGCACTATGTTAAATGAACCCGTCGATGTACATATACATTGATGATAACTAAATTGTTAAATAAATTAAATATATATTGAAAAACGAAAAGCAAGGTATTATTGAATAATTAAATTATAGTATGGTTAGAATCATCCAAAAAAATGATTATCACTTAATGTGATATTTAATATATTATAGATAATAATTACATTTAATAAGTTATTTTGTATCTAATAAGATATAGATCTCGATACTCTATTTCTCATATTATTATTAAATGGTCATTAACATCTAAAAAAATGTGCTAAATAAAAAATAAGAGGAAAACAATAAATGTTTATGAAAAAAAAAAAGTAAAATAAAGAATATTATTGAAGTATATAAAAAATTTTGATCTCTATGCCCTCTATGAGATAATCTTTAAATGAAAGGTCTCTACAAAATGCCCCAACCTGTCGACTCATTATGTATAGGTCATATTCAACATGCTACCTTAATTATTTAGAACAACGTTACATTTTATGTTTTCTTTTTTATTTGTTAAAGTCACTCATAAAAGGGGCGAAGTATACCCAAAATGATCGTAGTTATAACTTAGTACAGTAGATTGGAGCAGCCATCGTTCTTAGAGACCATTCTTTGTGAGTGAGATCAAAGAGTTACTTCCGGGATAAGAATTGGAGTCATTTAGCTAGAAAAAAAAATAAAAAAACAAAATTGAATAGTGAGAGGAAAAATCAGAATCAAAACTTCTGAAAGAAAGAAGAAGATTTATTTCATATCTGACCAAAATTTGCCTCGCCAATTTGAAAAACTAACAAAAACAAACACATGGAAAATATACATGAAATCAGCTAATTTATATATGGTCTTGTTAGCTAATAAGTAAAAAGACTAACGACTAATACTTTTCCTGGCAGGTTTTGAATTCTTGATCTCAGACTTGTTGAACAGAGCTTGGCAAAGAAGTAGGGATGGGAATTGCGAGGTGTGTGGGATTTTCTTCTCCGGCCAATATTGCTACAAACTTCGGCCCCATATCAGTCTTGACGCTTTCCGGCTTCTGCTTCGGCTTTTCTTCATCATCGTTCGATGCCGGTTTTCGAAACGAACAGGCCAGCATGATTAATGCTACAGAGATAAGTAACACCAATATGGCCAATCCACCAAAAAGGTAAGGCAATGGAGAATTCCAATTCCAAACTGGCCTTGAAATTGTAGTGTTTGCAATTGTAGGCGTCATCTCTCTCTCTCGGAAGGATGATCTGAGGAATTTGCAGAAGAGAATGAATGGTGGGGTGTAGTATTTATAAAGGGGCAAATTTTACTGTACAACACTTGTCAGTGGCACAGAAAGAATGTATGTAGTGCTTAACGAATACAAAACCATTACATTATCGTACAGTCTCTTGATGATGCAGTTGTACTATGAAAATTTTATCGGATTTTTATAAAAGTTGACTAAGTTTGTTTATCACTCGTTTGGTGCACATTTTGAAGGTAAGAATGCATTTTTACTGTTGATGTGATGGGGAATATATGGTTGAAAAAGAAAAAAAAGTTATTGATGTGATGAAAAATATTATTTTATTGAAGAATGTGTGGTTGAAAATGAGAGATTGAAAAAAATAATGTGGACCAAATAGGGTATAAAAGTTAATAAAAATGGTGGATCTTATAAAATGTTTGGTTAAAATTACTCAATAACTTCGATCTCTTTATTTTTTTTTAATGAACATTTTAAGATTTCCACAGAAGCACTACCATGTCAGCAAAGCAGTGTTATGCACAAGAAAAGTGTAAATTTACCTAAATTGATGTAGGATTCAAAAGCTTTTTAGAGTACATTTGACAAAAAAAAGTAACTTTCTTACAAGTTAAGAGAACCACAAATTACTTTATGGACCAAAATGTACACTATTATGGGTCTCGTAACTTATAAGTGAAATTAATTTATAATTCCTAACTTACATGACTTATAATTTGTTGAACCTACATACTATAGTTATGCAAATTGCACAATTTGTAAGTTGGTAAATTCGCATTCTTCACACGTACGTGCATAAAGACATAGCGTGCGTAGATCTTATGTACCATACACTGAGAACGAGACTACATAAACATATTTTCAAATATCGTCTAACGCAGAACAAAAGAAAATTGTTATATATGATCACTAGTGTTACCCACTAAAAGATAGGCAAAATAAGTTTGCATGTTATTTAAATTTTTCATGCTTTAATAGGGTCCCCTTTATTCTCGAGTTCACCAAAATGTCTAAGCATCTAGGCCAACAATTTGTAGTGCATTACTGCATATAGTCCCTTCTTGTTTCCCATTTCTACATTTGATGAGCCGCCACAACATCCGTAACCCTCCATATTTTCTATTTTTTTTCTTATATAAAACACATAAATACGAACCACCTTAGCAATTTTATTTCGAAATGTAAATTCACATATTATTTCTAGAAAGGACGCATTTTTAAAATGGCCACGTCAAACACTCTATTCAATACATAGGCATAAATTACTAATTATTCACCGCAATGACATTTTTTACATTAAAAGACAAACATACCCTTCATTTCAAAATTAAAACACAGGAATTCTCCCCTCGGACCCTTGACCCGGACCCCCAAAACCCCCGGACCATGGACCACGTGGACCCCCCAAACCTCGTTAACATATAACGGATCTGTCGTGATTTCTTCACAAATTTGGATTTCTTCAGCATAATAAAAGAATTTTTTGTTTAAATCTTTGAATATTAGAGCTAAAAACACATGAACTATGCTACCTGTACAATGAATTTGACAATAAGTTTGACAATGTGTGAGATGGCAGGCATTATGTCCATTGATTTGAAAGATTGTTTTTGAATTCAATGGCAATGATCTATACACCTCACACATTGTCAAAATTAT